ATTCCAAAATATAATAATGAAATGCTATTTTGTGAAACTTGTACCAAATGGAATCAAACAAGACTACCATTCCCAGAGGAAATGCATGCAGTAAACTGTAAGGTTTTTGAACTTGTAAATGCCGATATTTGTGGTCCCATGAATGTCGCATCTTTAGCTGGTTCAAAATATTTCTTAACATTCATTGACAACAAATCATAGAAAATTACAGTGTATGCCCTATGGGAAAGGTCTGAAGCCCTTGAAGCATTCAAAAAGTACAAATTTCAAGCTGAGGAGCACATGGGGAAACAACTAAAAGTATTCCACCACGATAATGCAAAAGAAATCAAAAGCAAGGAATTTAATCAATTCTTAGAAAAAGAAGGTACAGTGAAAAGTCTTTAACCCCTTCGCGCCGGGTAGCGCAAACGCGCGCTTATCGCGGAGGCCGGCAGTGTCTTACGCGAGCGTCTGTCCAGGGCCGGGGGCTTTTTTGCTATTAAGCCTAAATCCATTAAATTTCCGAAGTATCAATGCATTGTTTAATAATTCTCTATAGAGTATTTAAATGGCTTATGCTTTATAGATATTTATAATATATACTTTAATTACCTTATTTCCTGTTTAAATGCATATTTTACACATTTTATTTTCATTACTCACCATTTTATGACTTTTAACATTATACATCTGAAAACTAAATATATTACTTAAAATTCTCTTTTCGTATGAAAAATTTGAAAACAGGGATTCTACACACAGTCCTACATTACATTCCTTGCACTCGTAATAACTCATTTGCCGTTTTGGAGGATTTTTCCGGGAATGTGAACAAACGAAGCATCGTCGCCTCATTTTCTTATCAGTCTCTTCTGAACAAAGTTTTGGAAAATGTGATAGAGATACTATGTAACGTAATATCCTAGTGATACTACGTTACATAGTATCACTATCAGAATCTGTTTCAGAATCAATATCTGAAATATTTTGCATCATTTCTGCTATTTCATGCTCTGTTAAACATTATCGACGCTTCGACATTGCAACGGAAAAACAGAAAGAATTCATGTCTAACAAGATCTAATTATTTTCTAAATACTGAACTGCAAACCGAAATACCCAATGCTTTAGCGAAAATAAAACTTCTCTACAATAAACAACTACCATGTGCGAATTTAAAGAGACATCATAAAGCACGCCATTCAGAAAGATTTATTTCCCCATTTGTTTATATAATCAAAAACACGTGTATGTGAGTCATGCTTCTCTCATTTCGAGTAGAAGGTCTAATGTACATGTATCTGAAACCATATGGACATATAGTACCATCTTGTGGTAAAAATTATAGTTTTTAAAACGTTCCAGGACACTGGCACAATCCTTTACATATTAACAAATATATATTGGAAATTCTATTTGATAAAATCGAAAGTTTAAGCTTACTTTTATAAAATTGCTCTAACAGTCTGCATAAAAAATAATAAGCCGGATCCAATCAGAAGATTAAGGAACAACACAATATGCAACATTAACTGAAATAGATAATTTTAGCTTAGCTTATATTGTCCGTTATACATTAAACGTGCATGAGTAAACATATCATGCACATTCGTAAATGCATATGCGCATGTGCAAAAAGTCTGTAGCTTTGAGGTCCGGATTATAGATCATTCCGGATTGTTGACGTCTGGATTAAAGACTTCACTGTACTAAATTTCAGTTCTCAGTTGGGTACAGACTGCAACAGAACGGAGTTGTTGAATGTGCCAATCGTACCCTAGTTGAAATGGCCAGATGTCTGCTGTTGAAATCAAAATTACCTCAAGGATTATGGATTTTGCCACCCCCCACCCCGCAGAGCATGGTATAAACAATTTCACACATTCATAACCAATGTCTGAACAAAAACTGATCAAAAATGACCAACGAAATTTGGTTTAAAAGAAAGCCTACATTATTGAATTTCAGGATCATAGTAAACCTTTTGTATTAACAAACTCAAAATGGAAAAATAAATTTTTCCCAAAAATTAAAGAATACATTCTTTTTGGATATTCTGAGGAAGCAAAAGCCTATCATCAATGAAAATTTGGAACTTGTAAAGTAACACAAAGTCACGATGTCCGTTTTTTGGAACTTCGGGAAACTGAAGCAAGCTTGAAAACTTCAACAGGCGACAAACAGGAATTCATTGATTTTGTTCCTACTGAAGAAAACTCAGAAGCCAACGTGAATTCCGAAATGCCAAATGGAGGCAGAGCAGAAGCTGAAGAAAACGCAATTCAAGATCAACGTTCAGAAAGAGGACTAGGAAAACCTAAATTTCTGAAAACAGGAAAAGCGGGCAGACCAAGAAAAATTTACCAGCAAAAAACTGCGAAATTTTAGCAGATCCAGAAACTGTAGAAGAAGCTCTATCCAGGCCAGATGCAGACAAATGGAGAGCAGCTATGTGAGAAGAATATAATTTATTAATGAGGAACAATATGTGGGAATTAACCAATTTAGCAGAAAAGCTGTTGGTTGCAAATGGATATTCCAAATAAAGTGAAAAGCAGACAGCACAGTTGATCGGTACAGACTTGTCTCCAAAGGATGCTCGCAAAAATATGGAATAGATTATACGGAAAAGTTTTCATCCATATAAATAACCCGTAACCCCTATAACTCTATATGAACATTGCTCACTTTAGCTGCCAAATATGACCTAAAGATACAACAAATGAATACCCAGACAGCTTATCTCAATAAAAAAAAATTGATAAAGAGATCTTCATGTAAAACCTAGAAGGTGTAACTTCTGAAGAGAAAGTTTGCAAGCCGAAGAAATCAGTCTTCGAACTTAAGCAAGCAGGATGAATATGGTACCTTAAATCGGATACAATTTTGCAAAAACTAGAATTAGAAAAGTTAATGTCAGATAACTGCAGATATGTTCAAAAAGGAGATGATGACTGTATCATAATCACTGTTTATGTAGACTATCTAATAATCTTAACTAAAAGCGAATCATCCATGATACACATTAAGAAAACTCTCAGTAAAACTTTTGAAATGAAGGACTTTGGCAAAATAAAACAGTATTAAATTTGCTTCATTATCACAAGAAATAATTATACAGTCCAAAGTTGTTAATCCGGACTCGTCGGGACTTCGGCGATCATCAGTTTAAATCTAGTAAGATGGCATGCAGAAATTATAAAATTAAAAATATGAAACCGTAATTTATGAAATAAAGAGCAATTATGATCTAAAGGGTATCAAATTTTACAAAAAAAAAAAAAAAAAAAAAAAAGCTTAATATTTGTTTGTTTACTTTATTAAACATTTCTTTCAATGTAAGTTGTTTAAGTTGCTTCGTTTCATGCGATAATACTTTCTCTTTAATTCTATTAAACAGACATAATTTCTTGTTTAGTTACAAAGTTCCACTGTTCAAGTCCTATAATTGCTGTGTCGAGAATACCGACTAATTTGTCAATCGAAATTTTTTCGTTTTCAATAACCTCTTTGTCACTTTCTTCACTATCGGAAGCGAATTATAATGATGAGGAATTTGATTTAAATCATATCAAAGATGGAGTACATAGAGATGAAATACTACATTTAGTAAGGAATTATAAGCCAAATAAAATAAAAACATCTGCTCTGAAGATAAGGATAGTGCTGACAGATCAACTTTCAATTCATTGCGCGCCACGCCCTGAAGATAAGGATAGTGCTGACAGATCAACTTCCAATTCATTGCGTGCTGCGGCGTCCCCCCCCCTTGCCGCAGAGCAACTTGAAATTGATAAACAGATTTCAGAATGGTTAGAGAATAAAAGGATATGCCTTTACCCTTTTTTGCAGCAATTCCACTTTTTGTTTGATGGACTTCGAGACATACTTCCGCTTTGTAGATCCTTTACATATTAGTAAATAGTACATATTGGAAATTCTATTTGACATAATCGAAAAGTTCAAGCTTACTTTTATATAATTGCTCGACCAGTCTGCAAAAAATAATAAGCCGGATCCAATTCGAAGATTGAGGAACAACGCAAACTGCAACATTAATTGAATTAGATAATTTTAGCTCAGCTTATACCGTCTGTTATACGTTAAACGTGCATGTGTAAACGTATTATGTGCATGCACACATGCATATTCGCAGACGTAAAGGTCTTATGCGCATGCGTAACGCCTATGCGCATGCATCAACGCAACGCATGTAGCTGTTTGTTTGTAGCTGAGGTCCGGATTATGGGTGTCTGAATTAACGACTGACTGTATTTTACTACATATGAATTAAATAAATATAGTTGCATGAAGAATGTTTATGCAATTGGTTGCCAAAGTTAGGCACATTCTGAAAATTTGTTGTTCTACTAATGTTGTAATTCTACTAATGTGGTTGTGCTAATAAATAAGTACCACTCACTGAGTATACATAGGATGTTTTTCCAGAGTTTTAGGAATTGACTATTAGTTCAATTACTAGAACTCATATGCAATGCTATTGGTTACAAACAATTCTTGAAATGTTTATGCAGATAGTGCAATATTGTTCAGTTCAGTTACTTGCCTGATGCAAGCACATTTATGTAGCATTATTTATTGGAACTATGGAAGAAGGGAGGCAATCATTTTCTTCAAGATTTGTGGAAAAAGGATGTGAAAACTTCAAAAATTATTCAATATCTGGGAGTATTCTGTTTCCACATTCGAAAAAAAAAACCTTTATAGGATGTTCAATTGGAGAAATAAACCATGCTCTAAATAGGTGGACTGAGGATATACCAAAAAATTTCTTTGACGATGGCTTAAAAAATTACTTTTTTGTCGGAATAATTATATTCAGTTAAATGAGGATTGCACTGAATAGCTACATGATAATACTGATGAAAAAAACTATACCTTAATTCCTAGAACTCTGAAAACATTCCACATATTGTCTCTTTAGACTACTCAACATAACTGAACTTTCAGTCAATTAGCTTGATTATCACTACAAATAATCACACTTTACTACATACCAGTTAAATAAACATGACCATCAAAACTGCGACATAATGCTCGTACAATTGCAAAACCAATACCTTTATTACTTCCAGTAACCTAAAAGATAAATTAAAAGTATTAATTTTGAAGCTATAAATAAAGCTAAATTAAAGATTCATTTTAAATAGAAAGCTAAAAAATCCATATACACATATTTATTAAAAGCAGTATGGTAAATTTGTTGAAAATCGCAATATTTGATATACTTGCAAGATTTTTAACTCATATGAGGACAGTTACATTGCCATAATATAAATTAGCAAAAAAAAAAAAATAGTTATACATAAAGTACCAATTCCAGATTGTTGGCTGCCTTTTTTTATACAGGAATATATGTTTGATATTCATTCCACCGCCCATATGCTGTGTACCATCTTGCCCTCCCATTAGGATCGGCCCTCTATACGTAAGGGAAGAAAAATTCATCTATAATACGCAATAATTTATATGCAGATAAGAAAAGATTTATACATCTAACATGGAGGTAGGACGTAAAAGGAGAGGCCCTAACTGTTTCTCCCCATCCACTGCTTTGAAGATGACACTTGCTCTGTCTTCAGGAGCGATTAATGAGGGCTTGATGCCATCTTGGCTTATGATTGTGATTTTGGGGAACTATGGATTTTATCGGACAGCCGCAGTGCACTACAACATCTTGGTGGTTGGTCATCCACATGCGATGAAACCAACATATCTAGTCTGCTCAAACTGAGGAAGATCTATCAGACCCACAACGTCCACCTCCAGTGGATCCCATCATATGTTAATATTAGATGTAATGAGGTCTCTGATAAACTGGCAAAAGAGGGTAGTGAAAATGAAACGGTCACTAGCTTCTCACTTACTTACCAAGAACTTTACTCAAATGAAAGATCTAAACTTAATATAAGTATGACGTATTTCACCTACGCTCCAATGGTACACAGGAACATCCCCTGGCTCCCTACTGGAATTCAAATGTGACCGTGGGTCCCAGACTGCTCTGGCTAGACTAACAAGTGGCCACCTTAAACATCTTTCCTTTGAAAGTGGCAGCAAAATTCACCCTGCTTGTAAAAAATGTTGTGACCATCCAGCTTCACTGGATCACATCGGTTGCATAACTGGATCGGTTGCATTCACTGGATCACACTGGGTTGCTTCGGATTTTCTAAGGAGGACTTAACATCCCATCCCCTCACTGTTATTGATTTTTTGATGGTCAAGAACCTTTTGGAGCTGATCTCGATGATAAGCAACAACATAACACTGCTTTGAAGCAGTGACACACTCCTTGTGGAGACCAAAACATTCAGTGACTTACCATAGATCAATGGGTTTTGCCATGACCATTTTGTAATTACATCGTAAATATACATATAAACTAAAACTTAACTCAGTGGCGCAACAGCCCTAATGGGCCAAGGCTTGCAGTGCCCAAAAACTGCTTTCTTCATTGTGGGCCCCGGGGTGCATAAGGCATATGCCCTGAACAAGTGGTCAGCTTGTCACAGGACCCCCTGCGTTTAGTCCCCAAGCGAGCTTGGTACTCATTTTATCGATCCAAGTGATGGAAATTAAAGGATGAAAGGCTGAGTCGACCTCGCCCAGTCTGGGAATCGAACCCCGGAGCTGTGGTGCTGCTGCGCGAAAATATATGTATAAATCTACATATTTCCTTTTTCTACAATATTTCAGAGCCTGAAGTATGTGAAAAGAATATATTTTTAAACAACATTTGATTCTGAATGGAATTAACCTTTTTACGATGGCTTTGTTTAAGACGCTCGTGTGGGACGGAAGAGAATCGAAGGCAGTCACCGTACAGGACGGAGGTTTTTCATCGCTAAGCCTAATTTTATAAAAAAAAATCAGAAAAAAATGTTGTGCTTCTAGCAACGTAATTTTTTGTATCATTTTAGATTATTACTTGAGCTCTTATATATGTTAAAATTAATGCTTAATAATGTTTTTTTCTTTATTTTACCTGAAATATACTTAAAAAATTGCTTATCTTGTAAAATAATTTTTGGAAGAGCTATTTAAATTATTCCAAAGTTTTAATTAATAAAATCCATCAATAAAGTTTTAAATTAATAAAATAACACAATAAAGACTATTTATAGTAAGAACAAAATTTAAAATGACGATTGTGGTAAATCTCGAAGCACAGAGAAGTATCCCTTTCTAACTCTTAGAAAAAGTATCAGTTTTTAACTCTTTAGAAAATGAATCATCACTCTCATCTGCGTTAATAAATGGTTCATTGATAATACGAGGGTATTCTTCTTCTGATAAATAGCATCTTTCCGCCATAATAGACTGGAGGTGAGGCTTTCCACAATAAAAAGAGAAGAAAGGGAAATATACCGTATTTGACGGCATATAAGTCGCAGCCTTGTTTAGACGGCCACACACAAGGAACAAAAGTTTCAATAGCATGGTTTCTTTTAGTTCTCACGTTTCGTAAAAGCCAAATAAACAATTATTGAATGCAATTACCTTCACGTATAAGATGCAGGTAACTTTTTTGAGACACACTTTTTGATCAGACACACGAATGTTTTCATTAGCACGCATTCCCTCCCCCCCACCCTAGCAAGAGCTGATGAGTAAAATACAGAGTCAAGCAGAATAATCTTAAAGTCAAGCAGAATATATCAAACTCAAGGTCAAGAACTTAAAACTGTGTTTGCTCAGAAGAGTTTAATTTGGATGAAATATTTTTATGTTTTTGTTAATAAGATTAGAAATAAATTTTAGGGTAATTCGATTTTATTCAGTTAATGATACAAAAATAAGGACAAAAGTTTATTGTATTATTAATATTAAAATTATGCATTATACCTTTTCTATTTACAGAACTTCTTGAAATACTTTCGCAAATACAAGATAAATTTTTAGATTCCGAGGTATCCTTTAAACCAACATAAGAGTCACTTTATACTTAATGCTCTGTTCAGTTCATTCCAAATTAGAGCACCTTTTATTTTAATAGCGAAATAAATTAAATATTGCGGCTGATTTCCACGTACTTAACTTTCTATGAATATCTTTGAAAGGGAAATCAATTTTTTTTAAATATTATTTAAAACTTGTAATAATTGAGTTATCATAAAATGTAAGGAACTAATTCTTTTAATACTTATAGATTTTTTTTACCCTTAACTTCACCAATACATATTCCAAAAATTCTTAACAACTTTCTTAAGTATGCATCTCATAGACTTCGCTTTACAACACCTTTTAACGGATTGCTTTCCAGTATGAACAATTATTGTGAAAATAGTTTTATTAATAATTTATATTTGTCAACAGAATTTCAATTTATGTTTACAATTGAATGTTAAGGCTGTAGAGTGATTAGGTTATTTTGAAGCAGAAGATGGTGTGAAAAATGAGGAATGCCCTCGCCGGGACTCGAACCTGAACCTCTTGAGTATGCACCGAGTGTGCTACCATTACACCACGAAGGAGGGAGGAAACACTTTCTAAGTTTGTTATATATTTAGATAATGCTTATAATCATTATAAATTTAGATATATTTAATAACTATACTGGTGAACAAAATTACGAGATGGAAAACATTTTCCCATATTTCTCCCAAAATACCACACAAAACCTGGACAGTTGGTTGTCGTACAATGTTACTGTGGTGCTGGTGTTGCTGATATCAGTTTCTATATTTCTGTAGGCATCATTACGCCAGCAGGAGGTATAAAAGTCCCGGTCCTGCTGTCCAGCTCATTCTGCTCTGTAACATAGTAGTGATTTTTATCGTCTTTCTTGAACAATCTTGTTGTTCTTTGCTATTTATTAGGCAAAATGCAGTACACATCACCGCTTAGACAAATATATGAGATGGAAGAATCATGGATAGGCTTGAAGCAGGGCAGTCCCAAGCTCAGGTTACAATAGAACGTAACTTCAATTGGATGCAACGTTAAGTGACATCTGCAATTTGTGGAATAAGCTTAAAAACAGCGAGACAGTATCCAGAAGGCCAGAACAAGGCTGGCTGAGTTCCACAACAACTAATGACAATCGGTATTTGGCACTTTCAGCCAAGTGCCAGAGGATGTCTACAGCCACGTAACTGTCTCGTAACTTCACTACTGCCCCAGAAACATCAGTTTCAAGGAAGACAGTTGCCAAAAGGCTCCATGAGACAGGACTAAATGCCAGAAAGCCTGCTATCTGCATCTCACTCACTCCCTCTTACAAAAGAGAGCATTTACAATGGTGCATACAATACCAACACTGGACACAGCTTCAATGGGCTTCCCTGATGAGTCCAGATTCAGTCTACAACCTGATTCTTGGCGATTATTGATACGGAAACAATCCGGGACCCAATACCATCCCAGCAATATCATGGAAAGGGAGCAATATGGTGATGGTCTGGCCAGGGGTCATGCAAAATACTCACACGCTGATGACATTTGACACTAGGTTCAGTGAATGCCCAGAGATACAGGTACGAGATCCTAGAGCCCTACGTGGGACTTTTCAGGGGTGTGATGGCCCTGAGTTCATTTTTATGGATGACAATGAATAACCAGACAGAGTCCACATGGTTGATGACTATCTAGAAAGCAAGGATATTTACTGAATGGATTGGCCAACCAAATCTCCTGACCTTAATCCTATCGAACATGCTTAGGATGCTCCTGAGAGGGCTACAGCAATACACCCCCCACCCAAAACCATTCAGGAAGTAAAAACTCTTGTGATAGAGGAGTGAGTGTGACTTCCACAGGCACTCTTGAACTTTTTTTTTTTTTTTTAAACAGCATACTGTCTGTCTGTCAGAAGCGACCACACACCATACTAGCCACATTTTCACTTCCATCTTTCAACCTCAAGTTTGGACCACATTGGACTCTTGGTCATAACTCATGCTAATGAATGACAATTTTACTGTTGTTTTGTACTCAGTATTGAATGCAATAAACTATATCCATACCTATTTCCTTTATTTCTATCCATTATTTCTCGATATGTTTGGGAGAAAGTGCTTAATCTCTTAATTTTGTCCACCAGTGTAGATTTCTTCACAGTAACATTCATAGAAGTT